GTTTTAACTGATGAGCAGGAGACCACACTTTGTTTCTTTGTTCTCCACGAGATTCGTGCACCACCAAGGTTGATAAAATATCTTGTGTTCGAATGTCTGGTTGAAATGTCCAAATTCATACAATTCTGATCATGATATTCAAGAATAAAAAATAAGATGAAGTTCAGAGAGAAATTATCACCAAATCTCATGTATTGCTTGAGAGAGAATTACAATGCTAATATGGAATTACAGAATTGTTAATAACTAATTACAAAGCTAAACACTATTTATACTAAGGAAAAATTAAACTGATCTATTACAAAGCATGTAAAATGGAGAATTTGAATACAACAATAACGTGCATACTTGAACCCAACACTGGTAGATGGGCAACTAAGTCAACTTGCATCGCAATAAGCCACAAGTTCTAAATTTCCATCCGAGGGCAAAAATAAACCTTGTCTCGGCGTGGATTTTAGGTATCAAAGAAGACAAAATACAACATCCATGTGGATTTGTTGTGAGTTGCTCAAAAACTAACTGAGTTAGTTCACAGAGTAAACGGTGTCAAACCTTGTGACGGTGACATAAATCTACCGTCCTACTAGACGTCGGTATTGAGAGGCATCAACTTCAGGACTATCAACATCTTTTCGAAGGAAAAGCACTGGCACGACATGTTTGAACTCAACAATCCTCCAATATATCTGGTGTGTATTTCAGTTGACTAATCATAAAACCTTCAGCAAATTGCGCAACCTCGATTCCTGAAAAATATTTAAGTGGACCCAAATTTTTGATGTTAAAGCGTGCATGTAAATGTTCTTTGACATCTTTGATCTTTTTATTGTCGTTTCCATCAGTAAAACATCATCGACAATGATAGATGAGGACGATGACATGAGTGACACCTTTTAGAAATACAAACATAGAGTGGTCTTCTTTGAGTGCCGAAAACCGGTTTCAACAAGAGCTTTGGTAAACTTTTGATACCAATTTCATGATGCCTGTCGTAACCCATAGATGGACTTTTGTAGTATGTACACACGATTTTCAGTAGCTTTAGTGAAATCTTGTGGCACTTTCATGTACACTTCTTCGTCGAGATCACCATGCAAAAATGCATTATTTACATCCAGTTGATGAACTTCCCATTGCTTCTTGGCTGCCACTACTATTGTGCATCGAAGTGTGACTAACTTTGTTACTGGGGCAAAGATTTCGTGAAAGTCTATGCCTTCAATTTGGGTGTGGCCCTTTGCTATTAAACATGCCTTGTCTTACTCCACTTCTCCATTGGGTTCATGTTTGATCTTATAAAACCACTTTGACTCTATCACCATCTTTCTAGGAGGAAGCTTGGTTAGGATCCAAGTCCGATTTTTTTCAAGTGCTTGGATCTCTTTACTCATAGCTTCATGCCATTTTGAATCCTTTAATTCCTGTGAAAAACTTTTAGGCTCATCTTGAGACGTGATGGCTGCAAAGAAAGCACGATGAGTTTTTGAAAATTTATTATATGACACGTATTGAGAGAGAGGATGTACCATGGAGAAACCTGAAGTAGGTTTGGCTTGCGTATGTTCAAGAGAGGGTGGCAAGTCAGATTTGTATTCTTCAAGGTATTTTGGCCTTGCTTTTTCTCGAGTGCTTTATCGCACTCCCATTCTTTCTTGTTGCGATATTTCCCCATCATTGTTTTTGTGGGGAACCGGTTCTACAACATTTCGTTCAACATTGGTAATCCGGTTCGCCTGATCTATTTGAGAATTCGGTCTTTATAGGCTATTTGGTTCTCCCCACTCAACATCCGTATCTTGTTGGGCTTGTTCATAGGCTCGTTGGACCGTGGGCAATGAATCTTCAAGATTTTCATGCTCGATAGTTTGTGACTTTCATAAGTTTCACCAAAAGGAAACATGTTTTCGACAAAAGTAACATTACGGCTACTATATATTCTCTCGTCCTTCATGTCATAGAGTTTATACCCCTTATGTTCCATTGGGTATTCCAAAAACACACACGCCCTCACCTTTTCTCCGAACTTATCTTGTTTGCACAAGTTGTCATGAGCATATGCAAGACACCCGAAAACCCGAAGATGGTAGTATGTTGGTGTTTTGCCAAGTAGAATTTCATGAGGTCTATTATTATTGAGAGTTCGAGTGATTAGTTTATTTATGATGTATGCAGTTGTGAGCACACAATCTCCCTGAACTCTATCAGCAAAGATGCTTGAAAACACGGTGTTCAACTCATCTCTGATAAGTGTATATGTTTTGGCTCAACTACGCCATTTTGTTGTGGCGTGTATGGGCATGAAGTTTCTGACAAAATTCATTTTTCTTTGTAGAACTCAAGCATGTATCGGGATCTAAATTCTGAACCATTATCGGTTCACAACCTCTTTATCCTTTTGTCAAATTGTGTTTCTACCATATTAATAAACATTGTCAACAAATAAGAAGCTTTGGATTTATTTTACATCAAATATGCTCAAACACCACGACTATGATCTTTAACAATAGACATAAAATAATGAGCACCATTCATAGAAGCATGTTGGTAACGACCCCAAATATCAACATGTATTAAATCAAAACATTCAACCGTCATGGAGAAACTAATTTGAAAAGGAAGCTTGCTTTGTTTTGCACAGATACAAGAATCATAAAGATGATTGTTATTACCAATGCTTTTTATTTGCTGAATTTTTCTAATCACCATTCCTGAAGCATGTTCCAATCTTCCATGTCAAACTTCTTGATGACTCAAAACTGACATTGCCATTCCTCCATGCTTAAATGAGTCTATATAATACAATTCATTGTGTTCCTTACCCATCTCAATCATGTTCTTCGATTGTAAGTCTTGTATTAAACACGTGTCCAGAAAAAAAGTGAGCATTTCAAATCATGAGTGAATTTACTTATGGATAAAAAGTTGCACTTAAAATTTGGTACATTTAATACATGTTTTAGATCAAACCCATCTAATAAATGGATGTTACCGATTCCCTTCATAGGTATGGAATCCCCGTTAGGTATTGTTATGGTTGAAAGATCTTCATGGTTGTTGGTTGTTTTCAACCATTCCTTATGGTGAGTGATATGTTCACTAGCACCAGAATCAATGACCCAAGACTTGTGTGAATTGGTCTTACCAGTTGATAAGTGTGTATAATCATACACTTTAGCACCTAATTATAACTTTATTTCACTTCATTTTACACCTTTCTCAATCCTATATTGAGTCTTTTAGTCTTATTTTATGGTTTCACATTCATTGGAGCTAGGATGCGGGAATGGTACTGTTTTGTGTATTTGGTGAACACAATGCTGACATAAGCATTGCTATAGCAGGTGTATACATTATTTCTGCACTGGACACTGGATATTGGCACAGCTGGCTCGATCCCGTTGAATATGTTGAAAAATCAAGTTTTGGAGGATGACATCTTCTAGTACTGATAGAAGGCGATTTTGATAGAAGATGCCACTACAAAGATACCTTAACCTTTTATACTAAAGCATCTTTTCTTTTATCAATTTGTTAATAACCAATGGGTATTACCCACTAGTACTTTCGATTCCCTTTTGCTAGTATATATATGGAGGTAATCTATTGTTTAGTAGTAACAATTATAACACTTTGAACAATATACACTTTATTATCAGGAGCAAAACTTCATCTAAGCTTTGGGTCCTTGTTACTTTTTTATATTATTTAGCAAGTACTTTTAAGTGTTTTTCGTCATTGTCAGTTGCTACAACAACCTTTCCAAATTTCTCTTTACTTTTCATGCAAAATTTACTTTTACGTCATTCACATTCAGTCATTTCTATTTATGTCATTTATTTTTAAACACTTATATTCATTCATGCTAGGCTAAATACCCTAGTATGGGTGTAAGTGAAGGTTGTGAGATTACGCCAAGTGTTAGTCGATTATTGTTTTGCTAATAGCAATTTATTTCGCTATTCCCAAGTGGTATCAATATTTCATCTGGTAATCTTTGACAAATTGACACATGTTATTTTATTCAGATGAGTTGGACTTAAAATTAAGACAATGCAAATATTTTTACTAGGTGTGTTATAGACGCTATAAAGAGTCGCCATAATCTTATGGGTTGCAAAACTATATGGAAAGAAAGGAAAGATTTGTACTAGTTTGGGATTGATGCATCACCAAGTGCAATTCTAACATATGGTCTAATGTGCACTTCCTTGGAAGGTCGTTCAATCCAGTGGTGTTGTAAAGAGCTAATTTTAGGGCAATATTCATTACACTTCGTTGCTGAAATCCAACCTGATCTTGCATCCATACTATCTTTTAACTATTGTTTCATTTCAATATTTGGTTACCAACTCTCGCAAAGATATTTTCTCTCTGAAGCTTTATTGCTTCCAAAAACCCTTTTCTGAAATCTCACTTTAAAGTTAACTTTTGTGACTCTCTTTACAATTTAAATCTCTGTGGAACGATATTTGTTATTACTTACCACTATTACTTGCTTTGGACGACACTTATAAACCATGTATTCTTGCATGATTTACTTGTTATTATAGTCTTTTGAGGGTATAGTTATCCACACACCACCAGTCATATTTTCCATTGATGTTTGTTCATTTTCTTTCGTTTCTTGTAGCATATGTAGTAGACGATCATACTCCTCCTTAGTAAAACTAGGAATACAATTGTCTTCTTTAACCGCAGCTGCCCGGGGTTGAGTCCTAGGTTTGTTGGATTGAGTTTTGGAAGTGGTGGCTTTCACTGTCCACCATTCCGGATACCCCACTAGTTCAAAACACCCGTCGATCTTGTGATTTGTGGCAATGACTGCACCATTGATCGTTCGATTTTCCACGTTCATCTCTTTTATTCACAATGTGAGAATTATTCTTACCAGTTGGTTGAGAAAAACTTTTCTTGGATGTTTGAAATGTTGTTGCATCTGTGGTGGCATTGCATGCAATGCCAATTTGTCGTTGTTGTTCATCTTGGATAACTAGGTGTTAAGCCACTCCTAGTATGGGAAGAGGATTGTTGCTCAGAATCTGTGTTTTGACGGCTCCATATTCCTCGTTTATGCCCATCTTTGAGATTTTTTTTGCTAACCCACAAGTGCACCCGTTACAAGTACACGTTGGGGTTGAACTGATGGATAGGATCTCAAACCAAACCCCTCTCAGTTTGGTGTAGCAGGCTGAGACTGTCATATTTTCTTGGGGTATTGTAGTGACGGTTCTTTGCAACTTGTACGCCCGAGGTGCATTTTCTTTGACGAATCTCTCTTCAAGATCAAGCCATATGTCTCGGGCAGTAATGGTATATTTAATGCTGCTTCTGATCTTCTTTTCCATCGCGCTGACCAACCATCCTCTCACCATCTCGTTTCAATGTTTCCAACTTATAAGATCATTGGAACCTTCTTTCAGCTTGGAAATGGTGTTATCGACAAAGCCAATTTTGTTTTTGGCGAATAATGCATTCGTCATCTCACTTTGCCAATCGTTGTAATTCCCATCCCTAAGAAGAATTTTTCCAACGAAGTTCTGTCCAGGGTGATCGGCAGGAGTGAGAAAATATGGTGATGAAATATTCATGATGGATTTGTCACCCATCCTTTGACTAGTCTCGCCACCGCTTTCGATCATTCTTTTGGTAGAGAGGGATTAATCTACGGTTAGGGTTCCCATATTACGCTCTGATGCCATAAAAAATTTAGAGAAAGAAGTTTTTACTCATAATGTCTTAGGAGCAAAACAAACATCGACTTATATAAAAAAGGACCTCTAAAGATGTTAAAGATAATGATCAACAAGAACCATAAATAGATGTAGATAATAAACGAAGTGATACACATTAGAAAAAGTCTTTGAATTTTCTAAGTAGTTTTGATTGATAAACACTTTGTCGACATTCAATAACTTTTTAGAACACTTATCCTCATGAATGACAAATGAGCCACGACATTTTAGCCATCTACATGTGTATAGATGGCATTATTAGGGGTTAAATCAATTTCATCAACTTTTACAACTCATATCAAAAAGTAAATTTTGAATTTCTTTTTCATCAAATAAAAATATTGAAAATATAAGAAATGATCTTAACGTGTTTAAGGAGTTCAAATAACATATTGGGAAACATTAAAGTTTAATATTGATGGAGTCATCGAAAATATCTCTAAAAACTTATTTAAAAAATTCTAAAATAAAGAATCAAAATTTATACAAAATATTTTATTCAATTTCAATAACTACTTTATTTGTAAATTACAATATTAATTGTATTATTAAAATATTATATATTTAATAAAAATTATTTCTTGCGTAAGTTATATGTTTGGTTCCTGTGATTTATATGCTATAACGCTTTATGTCTCTCTTTTCAGACGATTATGAATTATAGTCATGTGTTTTACATTTTGTAACGCCTTTGATCTCTTGTCCTAACTTCGTCTAGAAGATTTATTGAGTCAATCCAGAGGCTATTCTATTCTTTTTATCAGTTTCTTCCTTTTTCCCTTTTCTTTTGGTTTAGTTTTTTAAAATTTTCTATATTATATATATTTTTATATTAATTTATATATATATATATATAATAGACTAAGGAACTCCGTCCCCCACACCGTGGCAGTAACACCCGTTTTTCAGTTGTTACTATTAAATAAAAATGATAGGGAAAATGGTCCAAGAACGGTCGGGAAATGATCAAGAAACAGTTAGAGAACGGTCGGGAAAATGGTCGAAGAAAGGCAGGGAAAATGGTCGAAGAAAGGCAGGGAAAATGGTTGGGAAACAATTGAGAAATGGTTGGGAAAACGGTTAAGAAACGGTCAAAAAACTGTTAGGAAACGGTCGGGGAATGGCTAGAACGTCGTGTAGCAAAACGAGAAACACGCACAACTTTGCCTGTGACCTAAGGTTGCGGCCAAGGTCGCAGGAACCCCTCTGGTCAACTTTTTAACCCAAATTTCTAGGGTTTTTCCCATTTCTCTCCCCAACCTCCATTAATCTCTCATTGAGGAAGACTTTTGGGAACATTGTGGATGTTTTGGAGTAAATGGAAGGTTCATCTTGGCGATTGAAGATTCATGCTGGTTGATTTTCAGAATTTTGATGAGGTAAGTTTTTGGGTGTATTGAGCTTCATTTTAGGGATCTTTTTAGATCTAAAGTTTATGCTTATATTTGGTTTATTTCTAGTCTTGGAGTGAGGTCTTGAGAAGATTATTGGAATATCTATTTGTGAATCTCAAGTCTTCATTTTTGGAAGCTAGAGATAAATTTGAAAACTAGGTTTAACTTAACCTAGCAAGTTGAGTTTCAAGTTGTTTTGTGAAAACTTCATACATACCAAAAATGTCCATTTTGGAGTCTTAAAATAGTCTAATTGATATTTATCAAATGTTATTGAATATTTGATGAAATTGCATCTTTAGTACATTTGATTTTGTAAATCTTGGAAAATGCTATATTTGGAGATTTTAGATGTTTGGATGAATAAATCATGAAATATGATATTTTGATGATTTGTTATATGTATGATGGTGATTATTTGATGTAAATGCACTTTTACTATATTTGGTTTTATAAATCGTTCAGGAATTACATATTATTGAATTATGAGATATTTAGGAATTATAAATTGTATGGTTTTCCTTTGGAGATGATTTATCTCAACAATGGTGAGTTTTGACCAAATCATATTTTGGAGCATGAGTTTTCATACATATTGGGTAGATGCGTCTTTCGACTTATGTTGACTTTTATTATGTAGTCAATTGAGTTGTGGAATTTATTGGTTTGATTTTGACTCGCTTTAGTTTGGGGGACAATTATCTGATTTAAATTGCTCAAAGTTGAGTTTTGGATGTTATTTGTGTTATATTTGTTTGAGAATTATATGTTTTGAGTGTAATGGTCATTCATTTGGACTCATTTGATTTAGACTATAATGCATTGGATCCATAGACATATGAGTCATACGTGTTTGATGAGTGAGGAGTCTTGATGTTCTCACTTTGTGACCAATGCTCGAGTAGCCATTGAGGACGTCTCGGTATTGCAGAGGTGAACTCTTATGAGTCGGACTATAGGGTTGTGGTTATTATGGGAGTGATGCTTTAACCCTTATGCAAGAGGATTAAGTGTTTTGTGTTATCAAGTAGGAAGTTATGGGTTCTTATCTTAAATGCTAATAGGTATACACTAAAGGTCGAATGAAGCGTTGAGGTGACACTCAACTACAGAATGGATAGGCATTAAGGTTTAGTATCGTTGAGGTTACGCTCGGTAGGGAGTGTGCGCTAACGGTGCTTCTTTGATCCTTTCTCTCAGTGATTTGATGATGATCTTTTTTATCTAACGAAAATTATTTAGTTCTCTTTACTCAATTTCAGAGATCATCACTGAGTCTGTTTAGTGATCACTGAACAAGTATTATAATTCTCTAGAGACAAGTATTCTTCAAGAAGACAATAAATATTCCAAGAATTATTCAAAGATTAAATGATATGGGAAGAAATGAAGGAAAACATGTATGAACAAATTTACAGATTAAGCATTCAAAGAATAATGAAGTGTTTAGCAATGAAGAATTATTTTCAATATATTTAGAAAACAAATTGGATTTCAAACGAGTGTATTATCACCAAAAATGAATATTGCATTTTAGAGACTTGATAATAACAATTCGAAGAATAGCTGAATTAGGTATTGGATTTATGTATGAAGAGAAAATACACAAATATCGACTCAATGAAAAACCTGATAAGGGATAGTACATGTTACAAACAAATTTTAAAAGAAAATCATTTAAACTCACACTTCTGATAATAATAAAATCTTTTTGAGTTCAAAGAAGTAGTTTGAACATTTAGAAAACATTTTAATATATCTACACGTTGTCCTTCTTCTAAGCATATAAAGATAAAGTTTTGAAAATTTCTGAAAATAGTTGTTCAAATTTATAAATCCTAAGAGTTATGAAATTCTAAGAAACATTAGTTTGAGCACTATCCATATTTTTGAAATTTAGTTGAGGAATGAACTCTTACCATGTTGTTTGCTACCCCTCGACAGTAGACAAGTTTATTCACTTTCTCAGAATAACTCCGAATAGTTCATATTCAAAGATCTGGAAAGAATAAGTAAGCTAAAACATCATTTTCAGAAATCTGAATTTCCAATTTCCAGAGTTTTAAGATATTTATGAAAATTTTCATATTATACTCTTTAACTTAGCATAATTTCAACTTCTCATAAGTCTTAACCAAAGTTTTACAGAGTTATAGAATCATTCTGAAAAACGACAATTACGAGTTTTGAGTTGTACAAATTTTAGCCAAGGAAAGTCTGAATGAGGGTATTTTAGAGTTTTAAGGATGGTTCTGAATTACAATAGTTAAGAGTTCTACAACTAAGAATTCCAAGTGTCAGAAGTCTGAACTAGGGAATTTCAGAGTTTGAAAGATAAATCTAAAATCCATAGAAAAGGGTTCTGAATCTAAGGATTCTAAGGTAGAAGTCTGGACGAAAGTATTTCAGAGTTCTGGAATGTGAATGTTTAGAGTTCTTAATATAAGAATTCTAAGTGTCAAAAGTCTGAACTAGGGAATTTCAGAGTTTGAAGACAAAACTGAGATGCAAAAGTTAAGAATTCTGAACCTAAGGATTCTAAGTTGTATTTGCTTGGTCTGAAAGGTTTATAAACTCAAATTTAACATTCCCAACTTGTTTGCTAGAAAACTGAATCTCCTCTCATCTAGAGCCTTAGTGAAAAGGGTCAGCAAGTTGTAAGTCTGTATTGACAAAATACATTTCAATGTTCCCTTTTTCAACATGATCTTTAATGAAATGTACCTTATGTCTATGTGCTTAGTCTTGGAGTGTTGCACAAGATTAGCAGTGACGGTTATGGCAGTCCTTGACTCAATAAATTGGAACTCTGTTGAACGTGTACACGTGGTCTCTGAGTTGTGTTTTCATCTATAGAACTTGTGAGCAACATCTTACAGCAGCCACATATTCAGTCTCTGCAGTGAATGTTGAAACACAATTTTGTTTCTTGGATGTCCAACTCACCAGCTTGTCACCCAAAAACTGGCATGAACCTGAGGTACTTTTTCTGTCTAGCTTGCAGCCACCATAATCTACATCTGTGAAACTGATTAGATCAAATCCAAAGTCTTTGGGATACTAAAGGCGCAGTATGGGTAAGGTATCTCAAGATTCTATTAACAACCATGGGGTGAGATTCTTTTGGATTGGCTTGATATCTTGCACAGAAGCAAGTGGCAAACATTAGATCATGTATACTCACAGTGAGATATAATAAAGATCCAATCATTCCTCTGT